GACGCCGAGGCTGAAGCAGACTGAGGCTGAGGCTGAAGCAGGCTGAGGCTGAGGCTGAGGCAGGCTGAGGCTGAGGCAGGCTGAGGCTTAGGCTGAGGCAGGATGAGGCTGAGGCTGTGACTGCGACTGCCGTTGCCGCTGCGACTGTCATCGCGAATGCGACTACGACTGAGAGAACAGCATAATTCTACAACTGGATTTTCATCTGAATCTTAAGGGGAATGCTTTCATATATGCTTCTACACATCGCTGTTAGGTTGCTTTGCCGGGATAATTGACAGGGATGGTGGGGGGGGGGGGGCGCATCGGGTTGGCTGCGCATGTTCCGAATTTGGAGGCAAAGTGTATTTTGTATGTACCTAACAGCTTTTGCTGATAGGTTTCTAGTGGACTCAAAAGAGAGCATCATGACTCCTCAGGGGGGTCTGGGCGGGACCCGGGGCGGCTGCCGCCGAAGCCGAAATCGCTTCGGACATCCCCGCAAAATCGCTCTTGGCGCTGCTAGAACTCCATTCCCGGGCCACATTTTGAATGCCCGGAGCCAACTGTAGGCCACTTCGTGCTCTTCGACTTCCCAGAACTCCATTCCCGGGCCACATTTTGGATGCCCCGAGCCAACTGTAGGCCACTTCGTGGTCTTCGAGTTCCCAGAACTCCATTCCCGGGCCACATTTTGGATGCCCGGAGCCAACTGTAGTCCACTTCGTGGTCTTCGAGTTCCCAAAACCCCATTCTTGGGCATGATTTTGAATGCCCGGAGCCAACTGTAGGCCACTTCGTGTTCTTCTAGTTCCCAGAACTATATTCCCGGGCCACATTTTGAATGCTGAGGCAGGCTGATGTTGAGGCTGAGGCAGGCTGAGGATGAGGCAGGCTGAGGCTGAGGCCGAGGCTTAAGGCAGACTGAGGCTGAGGCTGAAGCAGGCTGAGGCTGAGGCTGAGGCAGGCTGAGGCTGAGTCTGAGGCAGGCTGATGCTGAGGCAGGCTGAGGCTGAGGCTGAGGCTGATGCAGGCTGAGGCTGAGGCAGGCTGAGGCTGAGGCCGAGGCTGAAGGCAGACTGAGGCTGAGGCTGAAGCAGGCTGAGGCTGAGGCTGAGGCAGGCAGGCTGAGGCTGAGGCTGAGGCAGGCTGAGGCTGAGGCAGGCTGAGGCTGAGGCTGTGACTGTGACTGCCGTTGCCACTGCGACTGTCATCGCGAATGCGACTACGACTGCGAGAACAGCAGAGTTCTACAACTGGATTCTCATCTGAATCGTAAGGGGAATGCTTCCAGATATGCTCCTACACATCGTTGTTAGGTTGCTTTGCCGGGATAATGTATTGTTTTTTATCAGGGATGGTGGGGGGGGCTGTCGGCATGGACTCGGGTTGGCCCCCAGTCGCCTGGGGGAGGGGGTGTTTACTAATACGGAACAGTGATCAAGACTCTCTCCCCGCCCGAAAGCCGTCTCGCTCATTCCCACCCGCCCTCCCAACACATACGTAGCACCCGAGCCTGGCCCGAGCCGCAGCATATTCAGCAGTCGCCTTTGGATGGGCAACTACTGGGGGCGAATCCGCCGCCGCCGCCGCCGCGCCGCCGCCGCCGCCGCGCCGCCGCCGCCGCCGCTGCCGCCGCCGCCGCGCCGCCCGCCGCCGCCGCCGCCGCCGCCGCACCGCTGCCGAATCGCAGCCGCCGCAGCCGCTGCCGCCACCGCTGCCGCCGCCCCCGTCGCCACCGCCGCCGCCGCCGCCGCCGCCGCCGCCCCCGCCGCCGCCGCCGACCCCGCCGCCGCCACCACCGCAGCCGCCGCAACCGCTGCCCCCGCCGCGGCCGCCGCAGCCGCCGCCGCCGCCGCCAAGTGTACTTTGCATTGTTTGTTAGACGGATGGCGGGGGGAGGCCGCATCGGGTTCGCTGCGCATGTTCCGAGTTGGGAGGCAAAGTGTGTGTTTGCATTGTTGTCCAAGGGATGTTGGGGAGGCCCGCATTGACCCCGGTTGGCTCCCAGTTGCCTGGGGGTATACTAATAGGGAACAGAGATCAAACTACCCACCCGCCCACAAACCGTCTAGCTCACTCCCACCCGCCTTCGTCATACATAAGTAGCACCCGCGCCTGAGCATGTTCAACGGTCGTCCTTGGACGGACAGCTATTGGGAACCGGTGCCGATCCCAGATGCACGACGCTTGGGCGAGGTGCGTCGCGCATGCCAGGGGCGCCACGCGCGCCAGGCACCCCTGGGGCCCGAGCGTGCCAGGCACACCTGGTGCGCCACATGCGCCACGTGCTCCGAGTGCGAGAGGTGTGCCGCACACTCCAGCCGCGCCAGGTGCGCCATGTTCAGAGCACGCGCAGAGTGCGTCAGGTGCGCCTGCGCACGTGACAGCGCACATCGGGAACCATGTCGGCCCCCGCCATCCTTGTCGAAGACCATGCTCATCATTGTGTATGGTCAGCCTGCGCACAGCAGGCCACGCGCCACCACCCCCGCCGTCCTTGTCAAACGCAATGTGACTGTGATCGCGGGATGGCCGCACATGATCCAGATTTAGCCGCGAAGTGCATATCGTATTGTTTTTGTCAAGGATGGTAGCCTTGCGCACGGCAGAGAATACGTTGGCCCCCCCGCCGTCCCTGGCAAAAACAATGCTAAGTGTTCGCGTGCCTCACATACATGATTCAAGACTTTGCCCCAACGTGAGATTTGCATTGTTTTTTGACAGGAATGGTGTGGGGGGGGCATCGGGTTGGCCGCGCATGCTCCAAATGTGGAGGCAGAGTGCGGTTTGTAGTGTGTTGTGAGGGATGGTGGGGGGCGGGCCCTCATGGTGTCGGCATGGTTCCTGGTTGGACGCCGGCCGGGAAGGGGAGGGGGTGTATATTAATAAAAAACAGTTACTCCAACGGATGGACCCCGCATGAAAACTTAGTTTTGTATGAAATATGTGCACTATCAGAATGATGCTGCTCCTGCTGACGCTACTGCTGCTCATCCTCCTCCTCCTCCTCCCTCCCCCTCTCTCCTCCCCACTCGTCCTGCTCCTCCGGCCCCCCCTCCTCCCCCTCCTCCTCCTCCTCTTCCTCCCGCTCCTCCCCCATCCTCCTCCTCCTCCTCCCTCTCCTCCTCTTCCCACCCCTCTCCCCCCTCCTCCTCCGGCGCCTCTTCCGTCTCCTCCACGTCCTCCTCGACAAACGTGTCCATTTCAACCATCTCCTCCTGAAGGCACCGCGGTTGAAGTCCCCCTCCCCCTTCCTCCTCCTCCCCCTCCTCATCATCATCCTCCTCCGCCTCCCCCTCCTCCTTCTCCAGCCCCCCCCCTCCTCCTCCTCTCCTCGCGCGAGCGGGCTCGCATGGAGTGCCCCTGAGGGTCATTCCGTTCGAGCGGGCTCGCTGATTCCGATAGCCGTTGGAATTCCAAGTTTTAAATGTGACCCCCTAGGGGCCACAGGGGAGGTCCCTTCCGCGCGAGCGGGCTCGCATGGAATGCCCCTGAGGGTCATTCGGGTCGGGCGAAAGGGGGGGATTGGGAAAGGGGGGGTTACGAAATTTGCTGCATGCAGCTGGTTTCGGCCTCACCGAGGGGCCCATTCCTCGATACATAGCCGCCTCCGGCGCCGGGAGGCGCCCGGAAAATCAGCTACGCGAGCTGATTCTCAAACCCCCCCTTTGCTATCCCCCCCTTTCGCCCGACCCGAGTCATTCCGTTCGAGCGGGTTCGCTGATTCCGATAGCCGTTGGAATTCCAACTTTTAGGTGGAACCCCTAGGGGCCACAGGGGAGATCCCTTCCGCGCGAGCGGGCTCGCATGGAATGCCCCTGACGGTCATTTCGTTCGAGCGGGCTCGCTTATTCCGATAGCCGTTGGAATTCCTTTTTTAGGTGGGACCCCCTAGGGGCCACAGGGGAGGTCCCTTCGCGCGAGCGGGCTCGCATGGAATGCCCCTGAGGGTCATTCCGTTCGAGCGGGCTCGCTGATTCCGATAGCCGTCGGAATTCTTTTTTTAGGTGGGACCCCCTAGGGGCCACAGGGGAGGTCCCTTCCGCGCGAGCGGGCTCGCATGGAATGCCCCTGAGGGTCATTCCGTTCGAGCGGGTTCGTTGATTCGATAGCCGTTGGAATTCTAATTTTTAGTCGGGACCCCCTAGGGGCCACAGGGGAGATCCCTTCCGCGCGAGCGGGCTCGCATGGAATGCCCCTGAGGGTCATTCCGTTCGAGCGGGCTCGCTGATTCCGATAGCCGTTGGAATTCCAACTTTCAGGTGGGACCCCCTAGGGGCCACAGGTGAGGTCCCTTCCGCGCGAGCGGGCTCGCATGGAATGCCCCTGAGGGTCATTCCGTTCGAGCGGGCTCGCTGATTCCGATAGCCGTCGGAATTCCAACTTTTCGGTGGGACCCCCTAGGGGCCACAGGGGAGGTCCCTTCCGCACGAGCGGGCTCGCATGGAATGCCCCTGAGGGTCATTACGTTCTAGCGGGCTCGCTGATTCCGATAGCCGTTGGAATTCCAGGGGAGGTCCCTTCCGCGCGAGCGGGCTCGCATGGAATGCCCCTGAGGGTCATTCCGTTCGAGCGGGCTCGCTGATTCCGATAGCCGTCGGAATTCCAATTTTCAGGTGGGACCCCCTAGGGGCCAGGGGAGGTCCCTTCCGCGCGAGCGGGAGGTCCCTTCCGCGCGAGCGGGCTCGCATGGAATGCCCCTGAGGGTCATTCCATTCGAGCGGGCTCGTTGATGCCGATAGCCGTTGGAATTCCTTTCCGCGCGAGCTGGCTCGCATGGAATGCCCGAGGATGGTGATCGTGATGTGTGTGTGTGTGACTTGGTGTGGGTGTGTGTGTGTGTGTGCGTGTGTGTGTGTGTGTGTGTGTGTGCGTGTGTGGCCCGCGGCCGTCCAGAGAAAACGGGAACCCCACTTAGGATGTGGGGAATGATAAACCCCTCCCCGAAGGGGGAGAGGGGGGTTGGAAGATGAGCCGCCCTAGGCCACCTACGCCCAGAGGGCTGGTGCGATTCATAGTTCTCCGCCGTGTCCCTGTCTGACTCTCGTGTCAACGCTCCGCCAACCTAAATCCTCGCCTATCCCCCCTCGGTCTTCCCACCAGGTTCTAACTCTCTGTCTCTACTGTTCGTTTGTTGGTTTGTTTGTGTTGTCTATCCCTCTCTCTCTCTTTTCTCTTTCTCTCTTTTTTTCTCTCTCTCTCTCTCTCTTTCTCTGTCTCTCTCTCGCTCTCTCTCTCTCTCTCTCTCTCTCCCCCCCCTCTCTCTTCCCTCCCCTTAATTACTCGTTTCTTTCTTGCGCAAGAGACTGGGTTGGTTGCACTTGCGACCCCCCGTCTGAGTTCCCCTGGCTCTTTCGCCGAGCTCACTGTCCCTCATCTCTCTGATCTAGAAGTTCCCTGGGTTGTTCGGGCTCATCGGGATCATTGCGGTCTTCCCCCTTCAATGTCGCGCTTCGGCAGTGTGATGTCATTAAACTGTGCTCCATGTGTTTTACGTTGCATCAACATGCTTTTGTTGTTGTCAGTTGCACTGCATTATGGTTTGCACTTGTTTGACGCCTAGATGATTGCCGTGTTCGTCCTTACTTCGCATTTCGTTGCATTGTCAGTTCATCCGCATTATATGACAATTATTTGCGTTGCATCGCCGTTGCAGAGCTTTCCGTTCCCTTCACTGGTTTGCCATTCGTCGCGTTGTTTCGTTTTGAGTGGTCATGGATGTTTCTTTGTCTGCTGGGTCCGTACTCTTATCAGTCGTTCAAGTAATAGTCATGCTTTGCGTGGGTACGATATCGGGGCAGTGTTGGGTCCTTTTGCATCCTGGAGGCACAATGGAACTGCCATATACCATCTCAATATCATGAGGACCCCAAGGCCTCCGCACTCGAGGCGCAAGGCGGAACGCGCAGGGCCCATCACAAACCCCCTTAGCTAGCTCGCTTTCTGGGGACCTCGCAGTCATTCGCCATCTAGCCAGACTAGCTCCACGCTTCAAATACGGCCAAGGCCGCCCTGCTCCAGTAGGGGTCCTGTAGCACTGGGCCCGCAGAGTGGGAGCCGCGGCGGGCCACCAAGCAAAATTAGCACGAATGACCTGTTATCGGAGGGTGTGTCCTCGTCTCCGTCCCCTCTGATGCCGCACCCTCTGGAGCCGTTTCGGTGCGATGGCGCACGCGGCTGCACGGACCCAGACATCCGACGTTGTGATTTTTTTCGGAAGCGCGCCAGTGGATCACCCTGTAATTGAAAATTGGGGGGGGGTCGTAACGCCCCCCCCCTCAAAGGGGCGGTGAGATTTTCGACCCCCCCCTCCTCCCCTTGGCGCTGGAAAGGGAGGGGGGGGGGGTCGATCTCCCCCGCTCCCACCCTTTGCGCCCGACAGAGACCCTGGGAGGGGCCTCTCCCGCTGCTCCGTTCTGCGCCGGCGAAGGTGGGTCGCGAGTATGGAGTAGGGAATAGTGAGGTAGTGAGTGGTGAGTATATTGTATAGAGTAGCGAATAGTGAGTAGTGAGTAGTAGTCCGTAGTAAGTACTGAGTAGTGACTAGTGAGTAATGAATAGCGATAAGTGTGTAATGAGGGTAGTGGGTAGTGCGTAGTGACTACTGTGTAGGGAGTAGCGAGTAGAAAGTAGTGAGTAGTGAGTACGGACTAATGAGTTGTGAGTGTTGAGTAGCACGTAGGGAGTAGTGCGTAGTGAACAGTGAGTAGTGAGTAGTGGGTAGTGAGTAGTCAGTCGTGGATAGTGAGTATTGAATAGTGGGTAGTGAGTAGCGAGTAGGGACTAGCGAGTAGAGAATGGTGAAACGCGAAAAGTGGGTTGTGAGCAGTGAGTTGGGAGTAGGCAGTATTGAGTAGTGAGTAGCAAGTAGGGAGTAGCGAGTGGTGAGTAGTAAGTAGTGAGTAGTGAGTAGGGAGTAGTGAGTAGTGCGTAACGAGATGTGAGAAGCGGGTAGCGTGTAGTGAGTATTGAGTGGCGCGTGGAGAGTAGCGAGTAGTGAGTGTAGAGTAGCGAATACTGATTAGTGACTAGTGGGTGGGGAGTTTTGAGTTGTGAGTAGTGGTTATTTAGTAGTGAGTAGTGAGTATTGGCTGGTGCGTACAGAATATTGAGTAGCCAATAGCGAGTAGGGAGTAGCGACTAGTGATTAATGAGTAGTGAGTCGTGAGTAGTGTGTAGTGAGTATGGAGTAGTAGTGAGTAGTGACTAGTGGGTGGTGAGTAGTGATTGGTGAATATTGAGTAGCGAGTACCGACCGAGTACGGAGCAGCGAGTAGTGAATAGTGAGTAGGGAGTAGTGGGTAGGGAGTAGCGAGTAGAGGGTGGTGAGTATTGCGTACTGAGTTATGAGTAGTGAGTAGGGAGTTGGGTAGTGCGTAGTGGATAGTGTTTAGTGAGTAGTAAGTAGGGAGTAGTGGGCAGTGAGTAGTGAGTAGTGCGTAGTGGAAGCAGCGAGTAGTGAGTAGTGGGTAGTGGGTAGTGAGTAGTGAGTATCGAGTTCTGTTTGGGGCTAGGGGTTAGGGGTCGGGTCTATGGTCTCGGGTTAGGGTGAGGATTAGGGTTAGGGGTGGAAAGGGGGGGGTTCTGGAGTCAGGGGGCGGCGTAGCGAAAAGGTGGGAAGGGGGGATGGGGGCTTCGAATTTCGAGCCCGAAGGGGGGGGGGGGGGGTCGGACCCCCTCTCCCTTTTTAAAGGGGGGAGGGCCGACGACGGACCAGGAAAGGGGGAGGGGGAGAGGGGGTTTTCCTACGAATCACCGGGAAAGGGTAAGTAAGGGGGGGGGGGTCCCCGACGACGGACCGGGGAAAGAAGGGGGGGGTCATCCCCCCCCCCATAGGGGAGATCCAGCGGCGCGCTTTCGATTTTTTCACACTGTGGTTCCCCAGAGGTCTGGACCGCTTCCTCTGGACCGGCTTTTCATCCCGAGTCGGTGTTGACAGTCCAGGGGCTTGGCGAAGGCTCCCAGAGGCCGAAGATTGGTGAAAGCCTTCGTGGTTTCCACCTCGACGAGCGGATGTCCGAGAAAGGGCGCGCAATGGCGGATCCCCATCGAGGGGAACTGGGGAGCGCACCGCTGGCGGCGCGAGCACCCTTGAGGGTGCGCAGCAGTGCCTCCAGCGCGCCCCCTGCCGTGGCCCCGACGGCCGCGTTCGGCGCCGCGCGCTTCTCGGTCCGCCGGGGCGCGCGGGCCCGGTCGGCGGAGGCCCCAGTGGACGTCAGCGCCGCCGTGGCCGCCGCCGTTAGCGCAGCCACGGCCGCGGCGTGGCCGCAGCCAGGCGCCGCGGGCCGCCGCGTCGAGGAGCCGCAGCAGCCGGGCCGCTGCCCTTCAGCTGCCGCAGCGCCATCGCAGCAGCTGCAGCAACCGAGCCGCGGCTGTGGCGGACCCGCGCCCGCCCTGCGGCTGCTCGAGCCGCCCTCGACGCCCAGCCCGCGCGCGCGCACCGCCGGCGCGGCCCAGCGCCTCGACGGCAGCACGGCGGCGCGGCCGGCGCTGCCAGGCGCGGGCGCGCGGAACGGCAGAGGCAGGCAAGGCATTCAGGGGCAACGCTAAGGAGGCATAAGCTCAAGGGGGGGCTCGTTTCTCGGAGGCCCTCCAGTTTCGGGGTGCTCTCCATCAGCTGCGCCTCGTTGAAGGCTTTCCGAGGCCCGAGTTAGGGCCCGAAGACCATCGATGAGACATCGGTCAGCGGCAGCTCACCCTCAGGGCTTTCTCTATAACTCATTTTCTCGACTGATCCTTTGTCCTGCCCCCAGTGGTCCGGGATGCGCATCAGATCTGTCAGCGTTCGCGTCCGAACGCGTTTTCTGACCAATTCTGCGAGGCCAGTGCACGATGTCCTCATTGCAGCGGTGCGCTTCATCTGCGCGGAGACGTTCTTCGCCGATGTAGCCCACCCCAACCGGGACCGTGTGGTTTTGCCATCGGGGGCCTATCGCCGATCCATGGGCGATGTATCTCCGATTCCAGGTCGACGTTTCCCCCGTGAGGCGGTCTCCCCCTTTCAAGTTCCCCTTCAGACAAGGAGGAGACCTCTGCTCTTGCCAAAAGTGAAAAGCAGCACAAGCATGAGTGTTCGGGGGTCCGCGCGGATTCTTGGATCGGCGCTGGGCCCCCTGACAGCGCCACCGGCGCCGCCCTTGGCGCGCTCCGCACGCCTGGGAGGGAGCTCCAGCGCCGATCCAAGAAGTCCGCCCCGACCGCCGAAACTGAATCAGAGGGAGGATGGGGGGTGAGAGCGCAGTGGAACGGAGAGCCCCCCACCGGGAAATCGGTTTCGGTTTCGTGTTCGTGTCGTGCGTGCGGGCGAGGCGAAGCTGCGTGGGCGCGCGAGAGGAATGATCCCGCCGTCGCTAGGGCGATTCGAATGCAAAAGTGTGGCCCTACGGTAGGCGCGCGGTGGCTGGGGGTGTCCCGCCGTGGTGTCCCGCGTAGTCCCGATGGTGTCCCGCGGTGTTCCGCTGTGGTGTCTCGTGGTGTCCCGTGGTGTCCCGTGGTGTCCTAGTGGTGTCCTAGTGGTGTCCCGCAGTGTCCCGTGGTGTCCAGTGGTGTCCCCCGGTGTCCCGCCGTGGTGCCGCGATGGTGCCCGGATCGATAGTGAGATCGATAACGACCGAAATGTGGTGAGACCGGTAGTAATGTAAGATGACGATTGATAAATGACCGGGAGTCGTGTTGCGTCGGCGGCGCCCCGCAGGATGATTAGAAAAAAACGGCCGCGGACTGGGAAATTATGTTTTAATCGTTCCCCCCTTGCGGTCCTCGGGCGCGGTCCCCCACGGCGGTACGCACGTGCACCTCAAGTTGAGGTGGAATGAGTATTTGACGTGAAGATTTGAGCCGAATCTGAACCCGACGTGAAATTGAGTTTTTGTTGTAAAACTTGAATTCGACGTGGGTTGTGCATTTGACGTAACATTTGACTCCGACGTCAAATGAGCATTAGACATAATGTCTGAAGCCGATGTGGAAAGAGTATTCGGCGTAAAAGTTTGAAGCCGACGTAGAAGTGGTATTTGACGTAACATTTGAAGTCGACGTCGAATGATTATTTAACGTAATATTTGACGACGATGTGAAATCAGCATTCGACGCAATATTCGAAGCCGACGTGTAATAGATATGTTTTTATCGTCCTCCTCCCGTTCAAAATTTTATAGAAGTATGTTTTGATCGCTTCCCCTATTTTTGCATTAATCGTCATCCTGCGTTAAGATGAGATCGGTAGTTGCATCGATCGTGCGAGCGACAGTGAGATCGAAAGTTGCATCGATCGTATAATCGATAGTGAGGTCGATAGTGTGATCGATTCCGAGATCGGCAGTGAGATCGATAGTGGGATCGATTGTGAGCTCGATTGTGAGATCGATTCAGGTCGCTTCGAAAATCGAATGCAACATCAACACTCACTGCGCATTCGCGTTGGCATTGATTTGGCTCGATGGTGTCCCGATGGTGTCCCGATCGTACTCAGCGCCACTCAGTCTGAGATCGCTAATGGCATTGATCGCTGGGTCCATCGATACTAAGACTAAGACTGGCCGTGAGGTTGATAGTGAGATCGATCGAGTGAGATCGATAGCGGGGTTGGTAGTGACATCAAATCGCGGCGCAACATCGCCATCACGCGTCGTCGCCTTCTCGAGGGTGCGCCACCAGCATCGCTACCATCATCCATCGCATGTGCCAACAGTTGATTATTGCCCCTCCACCCGACCTCTTTGTCACCCGAAGGGTCGCCGAAGGGTGGTCCTATCCTATATGTATGTATGCATTGTGTCTTCCTCCATCCTGCTCCTCCGCCTCCTCCTCCTTCTCCTCTTCCTCCTCCTCCCCCCAACCCCACAGGCAACACGCCAGCCGCCTAAAAGATCTTACATGCTTGTAAGGCTGCTGTGCAGCTACCCCGTTGGCAGTGTTCCACGCTGCGCTGTGTCGTTTAGCCTCGTTGCAGTTTTTTTTTTTATCATTTGGCCATCAGTGGGCTGAGAGATACAAAGAAAAGGGACATCTGTATAAGTACAAGTGGTATGCACGCCGTGGCTCTTGCACATAGAGAAAGGGGAGGAGAAGGAGAAGGAGGAGGATGAAGGAAGAGGACGAGAAGGCGGAGGAGGAGGAGGCGGAGGAGAAGGAGGAGGAGGAGGAAGAGCGTAAGGAGGATCATAAAGGAGGAGGAGGAGGAGGGAATGAGGAGGGGGGTAGGGGGAGGAGGAGATGGATAGGGGTTGGGAGGGCAAGAACGTAAAGTATGAAGGGGGCGGGCGGCGGGGTCGCACGGCGGGGGAGGGGAGGAGCGGAGCTGGTTGCTGCGTGCCGTGTAGAATACAGCGGTGGGGGCAGAAGGCCGCGCGGAGGAGCGGGATTGGCTGGGGCAAGGGGGGCGTGGCGTGCTCGCCGGTGCACGCCACGTGGAAAAGAGTAGGCGGGGCGGATGGGCCGCGCTGCTGAGCGCTTGAGGGAGGAGGAGCGGGCTGGGACGGGGAGCAGGGCTGAATGCGGTGGGGTGAGGGGGCGCGGTTCGGGTCGTTCCATTCTGGAGAAATTCGCCGGAGCCGTAGACACAGGGTGCAAGATAATAATGCAATCCGAACTGGAGGAGGAGGAGGAGGATGAGGAGGAGGAGGAGGAAGGTGAGGAGGAGGGGGGAGAGAAAGTAGGAGATGGAGGGGGGGTGGAGGAGTAGGAGGGGGAAGAGGATGAGAGAAAGGGGGGAGTAGGCAAGATAGGCGCGCTCCATCCATGTCTGACGTCCTATCCCTCCCTCCCACACCCGTTCCAGCGCGTTGATTGATCTCTATCCGTGGACGCGTGTCATAGCCGACCTGGGATTCCAAACAACGACCCCATCGGGTTATGAGCAATCGGATGAGGTGAGCTGCGTGCACAGGGGGAGGAGGAGGAGGTGGCGGGTGAACAGGAGGATGAGCAGGAGGAAAAGGAGGGGTGAGGAAGCAGGAGGGCGAGGACAAACAGCAGCAGCAGCAGCAGGGACTGGGGTGGGAGGAGCACGAGGAACAAGGACCATGGGAAGGCGGAGGGGGGGAAATGAGGGGGGCGACGACGATAAGAAAGGACTCGGATCCAGGAAAGTTGCCCGCGATGGAGCGAGAGCGCTGTTCTGAACGACGGGGGCACAGCGCCGATGCAAAACTGAACCCTACGCTGCAACGGTAACGCATTTGTGAACACCAAAGATATTCGGATTGTAAGCATAAAGCATGTGAACTAACAGGTTTGAAATCCTGTGGCTAACGTTAATAACAGTATGCAGAGGGAGCCGAGCATGTTCCGCACAGAGACAGGGGTTCATAGTTTGTAATTGTAAAGGAGATTAACGGGGCGGCGGGGTGATGCAAAGAAGGAGGCCTAAAGTATCAAACGGTGGCACGTGCGCGTACCAATGGCTCAATTTTTTCTGTCCAACAGCTGCCTCACAACGCTTGTCGTAATTCACAACCTTCCTTAACCAGCATGTTGAATTGACAGTGGTCCGCGAGCATAAATCTTCATCAGCCCGAGGTGCCGGCGAGCCAGCCAGCGGCCTCGTCGCCTTGAGCCTGCGGCTCCGCAGCGTGCAGCTGCGCGGGCGGTTGAATGCCGCCGCGGGCGACCGGTCCATCGAGGTTGCCTCGAGGCATGGCTTCCGAGCACCTACACAGGAGAGGGAGGAGAAGGAGAAGAGGCAGGAGCTCGCTTCGCGCGAACGTTGTGGCCTGCTGGGAGAGGCATTGAGGAAGCCAGGACGTTTCAAATCACTGCTCAACTTTACTCGGCCCCCTCCGCCTTCCTGTCCCATTATTCTATAGGCTTACGCCACATCCGCCGACCCCTTGGTTTTTGCTCTTCGGGGGACGATGTTCGATTTTCGTGGGGGGTCTTTTGGAGGCTTCGTTGGGCGGCCTGCGGGCATCATGGGTTGTGTGGATGCCATCTTGGACGATCTTCGGATTGTCTTTGTGTCTTCTTCGGGGGCCTCAGGGTCTGTTTTGCAACGGTTTGTCGACGAGTCGGGGTTCTCTTGGAGGCAGTTTCGAAGTCTCTTGGGGGCCTTTTTGGAGCGTCTCAGGACTTTTGTGGACCTTCTGGGGCCTCTTGGGGGCGTCTTCGGGGTCTCTTGGAGCCTTTTGGTGCCTCCTGCGGCGTCTCGGACCGCAAGGCTCGGATTGTCGGCCCGGGCTCTCCTTCTTGGGCCTCCTTGGAGCCGTCTTGGAGGCCTGTCGGGCCGTCTTGGGGGCGTCTTGGGCTGTCTTGGCGCTTCCCGGAGAGGCACCGGACCCCCAGAGAGGCACCGAACTCACACGTGAGAACGATGATGATGATGATGATGATGATGATGATGATGATGATGATGATGATGATGATGATGATGATGATGATGATGATGATGATGATGATGATGATCATCATGGTGATGATTTTTATCATGGTGATGAGTATGAGGTTGTGGTACTGACTATGATGAGATGGCGATGTCGATCATGATGATGATTATGATGATGAGCTCGATCCTGATTGCGACTGATGGTTTCTACGAGTGGGAGTAAGAGACAGCGGAGGAAGACGAGGAGGAGGATGACGAGGAGTGGGAGTAAGAGACAGCGGAGGAGGAGGAGGAGGAGGAGGAGGATGAGGGGGAGCAGGAGGAGGGAGGAGGGAGAAGGAGGGAGGAGGATGGAGGAGGAGGAGGAGGAGGAGGAGGAGGACGCTGAGGACGACGAGCATGAACAGGAAAAGGACGGAGAGAAGCGGAGGAGGAAGAGAAGAAGGAGTATGAGGAGGAGTAGGAGGAGGAGGAGAAGGAGGATGACGATTATTGACTTGACGCTGTAAAGTGTTTCCTGGGTTCGTGCGCCGTGTCGTCGAATGGGCGTCGGCACTGCCTTTCATTTCGCGCGCCTTTGGGATCGGCGCATGATGATGAGGACGATGATGGTGATGATGATGATGATGATGATGATGATGATGATGATGATGATGATGATGATGATGATGATGATGATGGCGTGGTGATGGAACACTTGCACGGTGATGATTATGACGGTGATGATGACGAGCTCGATGATGATGGCGATGGTGATGGGGTAGGAGCGGCAGATGCGGAGGCAGATGACGAATGGCGGTGAAGATGAATCTCAGAAGGAGGAGACCGAGGAGGAAGACGAAGATGAGGAGGGGGAGGAGGAGGACGAGGATGAGGAGGATGATCAGGATGAGGATGATGATGAGGAGGAGGAGCAGGAGGTGGAGGACTGGGAGGAGGAGAATGAGCAGGAGGAGGAGGAGGATGTGGAGGAGGA